GTAAACTTAAAACTACAAAATATTTAAATTAAGTGAAAAGGTTTGAAACTTAAAAATTGAAATTATAAACTAATCTTTTATACTGCTGTAATAAATAACTGCAAAACTATTCAAAATGGATTAATAAAATTAAGTTTATAATGTACTTTTGTAATAATATTATCACCTCATACTTTTATCCATAAACTATTAATTGTATTGTGAAATATATTTCACATAATTATTTAATATAAATTAAAACATTAATTTAATTATAAATAATATAAATACCTTTTGACATCAATTATAGATATTATGTTGGTTAGTATTTCATATTCTCGGGGAACATATTTACAAATAATATTACATTTACATCTAATGTAACTTTATAATAAACTATTTTATTACTAGATTTGATAATGGCACCTACATACCCATGTACTGGGAAAAGGACCGTGGTTACCTGGAAGCCTACCGTGGTCTAGAGGCTGCGTTTCTATTAGGACTTATTGGGCACATAGGTCTGTCCAACGTAAACACCCACCAAATAAAAAAGATCCTGGACATTGCATTTATCAGACCTGTTATACTAGAGGTAAATAGTCAACAATGGTTATATAAGTAGCAATAAGTCACAAATGAAATTAAAATATACTTGCTAATTTTAGATTGAATGTCACCCATTCTTTCAAAATGACAAACTGATAAAATTTGCTAGCTCAAATAACTTGACCGTGATATGTTACGCCCCACTGGGGTCAGGCAAATCGGACCTGGATAACAACGCTGTGATCAAGGAGATTGCGGCTAAACATAAGCAAAATATCTACCAGGTGGTTTTACGCTGGAATATGCAAAGGGGTGTGGTGGTCATACCAAGGTCCCATGATAAAAAACATCAGTTAGAAAATATACAGTCTCTGAATTTTGCCCTTGATGATACCGATATGTCCCAGATTAATAATATTACGCAAACGGCTAAGATTATGGATATTAAGGGCATCCAAGAGCACCCGGATTATCCGTTTGGCGAGGATAAAGAATGAGCTTGTTAATTTTAATCTAATTTTATATTAAAATTGTATTTTACTGAATTACATATACATTTTTATTTAATTTTATTAATTTCAGCATTATATTAAATTAGTGTTTCAAATTAATTTATTTTTAATAAAAAAAACTGTAAACCTATTTTTAATTTACTGAAAGTTAATTCATGAAACAAATTTAATTTTAAAATCCCTAATACATAGTAATTAGTAATTACTTTAGCTCGATGAGTTTATATTCAAGAATTTATTTACTACAGTTATCGAATTATTATTTTTAATCAATTAAGATAATTAATAATTAATATTTTGGCACCGGTAGCTGTTTTAACAAAGCTCATATTTCAATAGTATCCACAAGTAAGTGAACCTATGGCTGGAGTTATGAGCTGGGAGGTTTAAATTCATTTTTTGTCGGTCATAGATAATAGGCTCAGGGTGTTTGACACAATCAGTAGCTATTATAAGTAGGGTGTTCCAGGGATTAACTACAGGATTAATTACAAAACTAGTCATTAAATGTATAGCTTAACATAATCTTCAGTATATACTAAGACTGTAATGTGATTTTCAATATCAATAAATTGTTTTAAAAGTTATGTTTGTATATGAATAGTAGAGGTCCAAAGTGCCTTAACTCTGAATACATAAAATGCAATATGTTTTATAGGTAAGCATTAATGAGCTGGCTAAATAGTATGACTTAGGTTTAAACTCTGTCCACTAATGCAAAACATATTTTTTGTACAAATTAAATAACAATTTAGTAAACAATACACAATTATAATTGATTTCACTTCAACTTTTAGCGCATTCTATGTATTTAGAGTTAAGACACTTCGGACCTCTACTATTCATATGTTTTAAAACTGTAAAATATTTTTAATTAATAACATGCACTATACGATTGATTTGTATAATTTAAAATTGGGTTACATTACTGTCAATATTACTCTTGCTTATTGAATTAATTGTAAAGATTTTTGTATTGACTTATGTACAAAATGTTTTATTTATTTTTGAATATTTTAAACAAGGTACATGTACGTAAAATATTGATATATTAATTAATTGATAATACAGCTAATATAAAGTAGATATCCAATATCAATGATATATAATAAATGATAAACAGATTATGAAACAAAACATTTATCCTTAAACTCCATTGTTTTTGCACTAAAAATATCATTGTATCTCTAAAATAATCTTGGTGCAATTTAGGTGTACCATCATAAATTATAAACTCTTAAGCATTTATGCGATTACTATTTAATATTACAAACTACAATAATTTCTACTTATGATTGACTTATGGTTACTAAAAACAATTGTAATTTAATTGATAAACAGATTATGAATACAAAACCTTTATTGATTACAAATAATTTTCATTGTTTTAACACTGATTGTACCAGGGTATCTCTACAGTAATCATGGTGCAATTCAGGTGTATCCCAGATTGTAATAATTACATTTTCGACCTTGACAATTTAAAGCTTATGGACAATACACATAGTAAGAATAAATATTATCAAAAACTGTAATGTAGATGTCAAAGAATCAAATGATTATTACATTTTTATTAAAAACATTCACATGGATAGCAGTATGACGAGAGTGTATATAAACTAAATCAAAATAATGTTTATTTTTATTTTATATTATTTCCCCCGTTATACTAAATAATGTCTCAAATAATATCCATTATATTTCTTATGCTAATTGTATGTAGCGTTCAATCACTGGCTAAACGCTATGAACCAAACTGGGAGTCACTGGACAGTCGACCCCTACCCGAGTGGTATGACCAGGCTAAAATTGGCATATTCCTTCACTGGGGCGTATACTCTGTGCCCGCATTCAATAGCGCGTGGTTTCCGTACGTAAACATTATTTTTTTGCGTATTACACGCACAATAATTTTAAAATTTTATTAACTATTAAAAAATACCCAGGGAACATTGGAAAATTGACAAGATTAAAGACTTCACCGATTTTATGGCCAAAAACTATCGGCCAAACTTCACGTACGCCGACTTTGCCACTCAGTTTACGGCTGAGTTTTATGACCCCAACCGTTGGGCAGATATATTCAAGTGAGTCATTAGTAAATGATTTATTGTTTTAAATTAATATGTTTTTAATAGGGATGCCGGCGCCCAGTATGTGGTGCTGACCAGCAAACACTGCGAGGGCTATACCTTATGGCCGTCGAAATACTCATGGAACTGGAACGCCATGGATATTGGACCTAGTAGAGATTTGTTAGGTTAGTAGCTAGATACTGTAAGCTAGACAAATATACAATGTTTAACCTGTAAATATAACTGAAAATAAAATTTAATTTATGGTAATTTTATAAAATACACTCATTTGGCAATAGTCTCAACCGTATAAATATTATCTTGAACATTAAGTTGAATTTTATATTATATTATTTTAATTGTAAGTAATGTAAATGAAAAATTTATATTTTTAGATAATTGACAATATATTTATTAGGCGAAAATAGTAATCACATTTTGAAATTTATATTTTAAATTTTTAAAAAACTTTATCCAGGTGATTTATCGGTAGCCGTGAGGGCAAAGGGTATGCGTTTCGGGACATATCACTCGTGGATGGAGTGGTTGAACCCGCTATACCTCGAGGACAAGGCTAATAACTGGACAACAAGAAACTTTGTCAAGGTGGGTTTATAAATAATAATTATTAATTAAAATAGAATTATTATAAATATGATTGCTGAAATTCTTAGATTATTTTGCGCACAATATAGTTTATAGTTTATTGAATAGCAAGCATGTTTAGGCATTGACTTTAAAAACCCCGGACCACCTGTCAAAGAGTGAGTGAGTGAGAGAGAGAGAGAGAGAGAAAGCTGGTTATATATTTAATTATTAAATATTAAATTAACGTTAATATTAATATTAATTTTTACAAATTATTTTATTTAGTTTAAAGGTAAATCAGTTAATAAATTACTAATTATAATTGTAATCACATATTAATAGCTCTCTCTCCCAATTTTGTGACCTAGAATGAGAGAGAGAGAGAGAGAGAGAGAGAGCTATTAATATGTGATTCCAGTTATAATTAGTAAATTATTAACTTATTAAACTATATTAAATACTTTAATAATAATTATAATTAAATATATATAACAATCTCTCTCTCTCTCTCTCTCTCTCTCTCTCTCTCTCTTAAGTCAATACCATATTTTCATCATTTATATGTAATTGATTACAATTTATATAATAGTAGATAGTTATAATTCATAGATAAAAAATGTGAAAAATAAAAATATTACTATCACACAAGAATTCGTTCAAATTTGTACATTTTTGAATAATAGACGTATTTTTATAATTTATTTACTATTGATTACAGTTTGCATAACATTTTCATAATTACATCCATAGACCAAATCCCGGCCCGAGAGGGAAGAGTTGATCACAAAATATAAACCGGATCTCCTCTGGTCTGACGGCGAGTATGAGTCCCCCGAAGAATACTGGGAGAGCACCGACTTCTTGAGCTGGCTGTACAACGATAGGTCTGTCCACTAACTATACAATCCTAATAGTAATTAGTCATATAACTAATACACATTTATTTATAACGTTTAGTCCTGTAAAGGATACAATTGTCGTGAATGATAGATGGGGTCAGTATTTATGACTAAATATATTTAATATAAATTATGATCATGATTAATATGAACTAGGTAACGTTCCCAATCGCACGACAAACTGCAAACACGGGGGTTATTGGAACTGTTGGGATAAATACAACCCAAAGGTATTACAGACCCATAAGTGGGAGAACGCTATGACTATCGATAGGAATGCCTGGACTTTCAGACGGGAAGCCGTTTTGGAGGACTTCCTGTCGCCCAAAGAGATTATGGAAACACTCGTACAGACTGTCAGGTATTTTATGAAATATTGTTTAATTTCTATGAATTGTTATTTAATTAAACTTTGGTATAAGAGACTTTAACCGTAAGATTATTTTTTAAAACTATGTATTTTTAAAGTGGTTATGAATTTTATGTCACCTATTATAAATTCATTTGATTAATATATTACCTAAAATTTATAACCATTTAAATGCATATCTAGAAAACTCATTATTAATTTGATTGATTCATATGACTATGATACCAACAAAATTAAAACTACACATTTTCAACCAGTACCTTTAATAATCCTAACTAACTGTTTATTTAAACCCAATGTGTTTATAAGTGGTGTTTACTTCATAATTAAATTTAATTAATTTTTTTTATTAGTTGCGGCGGAAATCTGTTGATAAACGCCGGGCCCACACATGACGGCAGGATTACACCGATATTTGAGGAAAGGCTTAAACAAATGGGTTTATGGCTTAAGAGGAATGGAGAAGCGATTTATGGGTCGAAGCCGTGGACCCATCAAAACGATACAATCACTCCTGATGTCTGGTATTTATGACACAAAAATGGGTTTTCATTCAAAACATCTATTAATACAAGAAATGGTTTGTGAGGACAGGTATACTCAAAACGATGGCAAAGTGTACGCATCGGTAGTGCATTGGCCAGAGAGTGGACGGGTATTATTGGGAGGCCTTAAGTACAGTACCGTTGCGTCCATTCAATTGATTGGCGCTAAGGATAGCCTTCAGTTCACTGAAGACAAGAGCGGATCAACTGAAGTGACATTTCCTGCACTCAATCCGGACACTGATATCCAATGGGTGTATGTCCTGAGGATTAGCACCAAATAAATTACATAATAATTGAATAAATAATAATTTGTAACATTAAACCTTTTACCTGTCTTATGGTTATATTAATTTTAATAAATATCATAACCAGGAACTTGTCAAGGTAAATGAATAGATATTAATTATTAAACAAAAAATATATTATATTAATAATATATGCAAACAGAACCAACTTATAGTGTATTGAAAAACAAATATAATTTTATCATTTATATGTAATTAATTACAGTTTGCATAACATTTTTATTATTATTTAACTGATGAATGTTTTAGTATCAAAAAATTAGAATAATAATTACCAACACATTGTATATAATTTAGATCAACAAATAAAGCATTAGTTATAAATAACATATAAGTGACCAAGGCCAAAGTGTTTTAACTTTTAGTACAGTTTTATTTGAGAGTATTTGTCAAAACTGAACAATTCTTATCATTTATTACTAATCCTATGGGAACTGACAGTTATAATAACGTATAATTAACTAACTTATCAAATTTTGAGTTTATTGTGTTGCCCAGCTAGAGTATTTGAACCAAGGCATTTTTAACAAAATATAAATATAATCAAACTAAACAATAAAATAAATTGTTTTACTATTATTCTTGAAAATTATTTACTCACAAATTTCTGTAATTTAATAAATTATTTGTATCAAATATGAGCAGTAGCATGCACATTTATAATTGATATTTATATGAGACCGGAGGTTGTGTTATAGGAAATCCTTTTCCCTAAAGAGGTTATTATAAACATGCGTAAGACTGTCATGAACATTATACCAAACAAGATAATTTACCAAGAATCTATTATATTATAATTTTGGACATTTCACTATTTAATATTATTATAATAATTTTATTTCTTAAACAAATGATTGTAGCCACAAGGTTTTAATAATTATTTAATTTGCCTTGATTAATCTCACTTAAAAAAGGCTTAAATTTAATTAATAGTAAATTCTAAAATATTCTATTTAAATGATAAAAAAATAAATATTATTTTTGAAACTTAAAATTTTAATAATTAAATTATTTATAAAATAAAATAGTATCATATAGATTTAAATTAAGTTTTTAATTTATTATACTTAATATATTCTTACAATTATTTTATATATCATACATTATTATAAGGTATTTATAATTTTTTAAATACTTTCTTAAACATAACAATTAATAGTATGGGTACCGGGTATTTACTATAGTATTAACCTCCAAATCCAAGTCCATGGTGTTGTCCGGGCACTGGACCCCTGTGCATTGGGCGCCGGTAGTAAAACTCAGATAACTTATTCCACTGGTCCTCCAGTGCAGCCATTATTATAAAAATTAAACTAAAT